GGTGTGCAGTGCGTGATTCCGTGCGTGCGTGCGTGCGTTCGTGTGTGTGTGTGTGTGTGTGTTATGTATACATCTATGCATGTATGTAGGTAGGTATGTGTGTATATATGTATGTATGTATGTATGAATGTATGTATGTATGTATGTATGTATGTATGTATGTATGTATGTATGTATGTATGTATGTATGTATGTATGTATGTATGTATGTATGTATGTATGTATGTATGTATGTATGTATTTATGTATGTGTGTGTCTATGTATGTATGTATGTATGTATGTATGTATGTATGTATGTATGTATGTATGTGTGTGTGTGTGTGTGTGTGGGTGGGTGGGTGGGTGGGTGGGTTATTGGGTGGTTGGGTTATTTTATTTATTATTTGGCTATTTTTGGGTGGGTGCGTGCGTGCGTGCGTGCGTGCGTACGTGCGTTCGTGCGTGCATGCATGCATGACGTCCATGACATAATGTCCAATTTCTACCAACTGTAGTCCCCCATATCCTTGTAGATGTCTAGTTACTGTCATGTTGTTACCATTCACTTACCAGCCATGGACAGTAGATGTCTAGTTACTGTCATGTTGTTACCATTCACTTACCAACCATGGACAGTAGATGTCTAGTTACTGTCATATTGCTACCATTCACTTTCCAACCATGGACAGTAGACGTCTGGTTACTGTCATGTTGTTACCATTCACTTTCCAACCATGGACAGTAGATGTCTAGTTACTGTCGTGTTGTTAAAATTCACTTACCAACCAAGGACAGTAGATGTCTGGTTACTGTCATGTTGTTACCATTCACTTACCAACCATGGACAGTAGATGTCTGGTTACTGTCATGTTGTTACTATTCACTGTAGATTTAGAGAAGAGCAGATCTCTTTTAAACAAAAAGAAGTTTTGGAGAGGTCGGGGATGACAGAGAAATATGAAAATACATTGTCAAATATGTGATTAGTCAACTATGTCTGCTGCCCTAAAGAGAAAACTGTCTTATCAAAGGAAAAGAGCAATAGAACCAGCTGCAGAAATCGTTGCTAATGAAAAAATACTGTGATTAGATGAACTCATTTAGGTCTGAACAAAGTATACAAGTCAAGACTGGAGACCGAGAGTGTTGTAGGTCTATTTCAACAAGCCTTCAGTTCGGAGACGGCACATGATTAATGGTCCCAACTTGGAGCAAAACGTCAAGTACGTGAACTACACCTCGATGTGTTTAGAAGGCGGCGCCATCTCGATCTAGCTAGTTCAAATTACGAACAACCTTGGTTTGATTTGATAGCGTTTGCCTTGCAGAATCCGTGCCCGGGGGAACAATCTGTTTGCACTAGACAAGAGTCTCTGCCTGCACTCACAGATAGCCCCAATATTTGCCACTCCTAATGTTCTTGCAGTCAACGAATATTTACAAACAGAATGGCCAACTGTTTTTTCGCAGACGATTTGTTTCAGGGCTTGATGGCAAGTCGAAGGCAAGGATACATTGAAGTAGAAAGATGGAGACAGATAAGGAGAGTGTTGTGGTAACTAGGCAGTAACTCGAACTTTAGATTCGTGTAAACCGATGCATTGTAATATGAACTGCTAGCTGCTGTTTGTGTTTTTCGATTGTGTGCACGAAATAGGTCAAAAGACAATGGGTGGTACAGACGGCAACTGTGCAACGAGGGGTCAGGTCACAGAGGAAACCCTAGTGGGAGGGTATATGTATATAAACACGCACGCGCGCACACACACACATACACACTATGTCTTACATCTGTCGAAATCAATCTTGTAAAACCAAGATTATAATGTACAACACGTTGATAAGACCGCTTGTCTTATATGGCTTTGAAACCTGGACCACAGCTAAAAAAATATGAAGCGTTTTTACAAATATGTTTAAAGTCTTTTGAGAAATCTTTGGACTCATCGAAAAATGCAAACAGCCCGGAATGGAGAGTGAAATTTACAATGTTTCAGTCACTACTAATCGCTGACTGGTCAAGGACATTATACTGAAATGGCTGGAGCATGTTAAGAGAATATCGGATGGTAAGAGGTAAAAAAGATACACAAGCGAGTTAAAGGATGGTAGGCCGCGAGCGAGACCATACGCACTTAATCCGTTCCTGATCCTTGGACGTTTACCAAACAGTACGTATGCCAAACAGGACGTAAACCAAAAAAAGAATGTATACCAAGCAAAAATAATGCCAAACAGGACGTATACGAAACATTACATATGTCAAACGACGTAAATCAAACAGTATGTATACCAGACAGTACATATTCCAGACATGACGAATACCAAACATTACGCAAGTCAAATAGGAAATATACCAAACAGTATGTATACCAAATAGGACGTATACCAAACAGTACGTATTCCAAACAGGACGTATACAAAACAAGACGTATACCAAACATTTATCATCATCAGGTGCCTTGCCGACTGGCGTGGGCGATCATGCCTCTTCACAATCTGCGCTCGCCTGCAACATGTATCAGTTCATGTGCCCACACACCTCTATGCCATGCAACAACATTACGTATACCAAACAGGACGTATACCAAACAGGACATATACTAAACAAATGTCCTCATAAAAAATTTAGGGAGAATTAATCCATTCCAATTTTTAAAAAAAGCCTGTTATCATTATCACCTTATACATGGATGATGTTGTATACAATCATGTATCTACTACCAAATACTTGTCTTGTCTTGTCTTGTCTTGTCTTGTCTTGTCTTGTCCACAATTGCCTCACAGCGTAGTGGGGAGTCGCAGTTTTCTATCCTGGGCCAGGTGTGTTGCACGTGTTGTTGTTAGTCCGTGTTGCCTCAGGATCTCTGATATATTGTCTATCCATCGTACTCTCGGTCTGCCTCTTGCTCTAGGGCAGTAGTGCTGTTCGTTGTATGCTCGTAGAGGCAGTTGGTCGGTTTGCATTCGCATCAAGTGGCCAAACCACTTTATTTATTGCTTCTTTATGTATTGCAGGCATGGTGTGGTTCCTACAATTGATCTAATGTTCTCGTTTCGAACTCTGTCTCTCCTTGTGACATTGGCAGCCTTACGTAAGCATCTCATTTCGCACGTCGTGATCTTTTTCTCCTGTGCTCTTGTTAGGGACCAGGTTTGGCATTGGTAGCAGAGGGTTGGTATAAACATGCAATTTATCAGTTGTCGTTTTAGTGCCATAGTGATGCTTGGGTGTTTTAGCAGTGGGGAGAGTTGGTAAGTTACTGCGTTCGCAGTACCAAATACTAAACTTCATAAATACACAAGCAATTAGATGAAATAAATAAAAATGTTACGTTACTTGACCGTGGTGAGAAGAGTGGCGTGCCTACTAGTATGACACTGGGAAAGTAAGAAGAGATTCTATCACTTAGAACGAGAGTCGCCTGCCTTCCTTGTCAATTTTTGCATTGTACTTTATTTTTATTTTTTTATTTAACTACCGAACTCTGTTTTCAGTCTTTTAACAAGTGTATAACAAGACATTTTATATTATCAATACCCAGACCGGCACAAATAACAGGTCTTAACGCACAAATTGTTCGACTTCACATGCAGTCAGATTTTACATAATGATTAGCTCTCAGTTCGACCCAGTCTTTACCAGGCAAAGTTCTGGGAAGTAAAGGCGGGTCACATCTCCCAGCGAGTGTCTATTGGTCTGCGGAAATATGAAGCTTATCGTGTGATCGTTAGACCACGTGTATACTCACGCACAGAAAGACAGAATTAAAAAAATTAGTGGTTTGCCAGACGCCCACAACCAGGCGACATTTGAAAGATGGTGCGTGCCCAGCTTGTTCATCAAATACCGCGCCAGGCTCTCATACTTTCTGACATTATCTATTTTATATACAATATCCAGATCACTGCCCAAACTAGACCACATTTGTACAAGTGCACATGAAAGCTCAGTCGCCAGTCTGGTGTAGTGTCTGTCCGGTTTACGCACGTACTTGCAGTTATCCAGCCACCCTAACAATTGCTGTTCAATTTCCCTGCCAGTGGTTGAATGATAATGCTGTCAACATGGGCGGAGACGCCACCAGGATCACCATATTTGGGGAGAGCGCTGGGGCAGTCAGTGTCGGCTACCATCTCATGTCCCCCCTGTCCATGCATCTGTTTTCATACGCTATCTTAATGAGTGCTTCGCCCACAGCCTATTGGGGCATTCAGGTTGGTGGGTCTGTTGTGTGGTCTGGTGGTTCAGACAATTGTGTGGTTGATGTTGTGTGGGTATTGTGTGGTTGATGTTGTGTGGTTGGTGTTGTGTGGTTGATGTTGTGTGGGTATTTCATAGTTTTTATTGTGGTGGATATTGTGTAGTGGTGGTTATTCTTTAGATATTGCGTGGTTTACTTTGTGTGGATATTGTGTGGTGGTTGTCATTCTGTAGATATTGCATGGTTGAGGTTGTTCGGTTGATGTGTGGTGGTTGTCATTCTGTAGATATTGCATGGTTGAGGTTGTTCGGTTGATGTGTGGTGGTTGTCATTCTGTAGATATTGCATGGTTGAGGTTGTTCGGTTGATGTGTGGTGGTTGTGTGTAGGTTTACTGTTTGGATATAGTGTCGTTGATATTGTGTGGTGGTTAGGTTTTTTTTTTAAATTGTGTGGATGTTGTGTTGTTGATGTTGTCTGGCAATTGTGCTGATACTGTGTAGTAGCTGTTGTGTGGTTAGGGTTGTCCTACTGTTATTGTTGTGTTAACCATCATTTGCAGTCTTTTGTTGTTTATGTTAAATGGTTTTCTTTTGTATGGTTGGCATTATGTGGTTGATACATGCTGTTTTTGTTGATATGAGATTGTCTCTTTCTGATTATTGTAGGATTATTATTGCTATAATTGTTTGTTGAAAGAGGTAATCTGGTAATCTTAGTTTTAGCCTCACAGCAGACGGGTACCCCCATATTTGTTCCGCTCCTGTACCAACGAAATTTGCACAGAGTATCCATCACTGTCCCTTGTGGAAACATTGACACAGACTGCAGTCTCAGCAAAACCAGTAGCTCACACACGTATTAAAAGCACAAGGCAGCAGTGAAAAAGTGCTGACACAAACAGTCTGACCAACAGAAATGCAGACAGATCAGTAGTTGCACATTCGATCAGATTGAATCACACCAGGCACCACCAATTCTGTGGCAGCCGGTCAACCCCAATTGTCACAGTCTACGGTTCACACAATCACAGTGGTCACAGTCGAAAAACATTCCAAATGAAATGAGCAGCTCACAGTGTCGCGTTATGCACTCAGTTGAGAAGCTGGACGACAAAACTATATCCTCTCAGTCTATATATAGAGGGAAAAGCAATGGCCAACGTCCGTAAGAAGCAAAAGTTTAGCACGACTAAAAACAGTGAACTGTCTATTCTCACTTTTGACCGGAAGCATCTTGTGTCTTAAGTAGGAGGCGAAGAGTATACTTACTTACTGATTGATAAACAGGAACAGAGGCGTACAGAGAGATAGTCAGACAGACAGATGGGTCAGTAGATCGATTGGTTAGTGGGTAGATGAAATTATAGATAAATAGACAGAGAGTGAGATACAGAGATACGAAGAGAGAACATGTTGGAAAGACTAGAAGACACAAAGCAAGCATATAAAGCGTTTTGGCATAGAACGGTTAGCTACAAGTGATTGCACAAAACTGTAGCACAGAACTGGGGAAGAACACAACAAAGGCTGACATGTTCCTCTATACTCAAGAATACAATGAGAAAGACATATCAATACATAGCCTTGTGTTTTTTAGGGGTAAATCTAAATGGAACGACATGACTACACCTCCAAGCGCCAGAAATTGTCATTTTCACAGACTTCGCTACTTATTTATTGATTAGTTTTATTTGTGTTCCTTTTGGAAACCTGCCTTCTGGAAGATTTACCTTTTTAGCCTGGGAACCTTCTGGAGGATTTACCTTTTCAGCCTGGGAACCTTCTGGAGGATTTACCTTTTTTGCCTGGGAACCTTCTGGAGGATTTACCTTTTCAGCCTAGGAACCTACTGGAGGATTGATATTTCCAGCTTGGGAACCTTCTGGAGGATTGACATTTCCAGCGTGGGAACCTTCTGCAGGATTGACATTTCTAGCTTGGGAACCTTCTGGAGGATTGACATTTCCAGATGGAGAATTAACAACTACAAATCGGGGAAACCCCATTCACCCGTAATGCCCTAAAGCACAGATAAATAGGGGCAGTACAAAATGGTTACCAGGTAAGCTTTAGTCCAATGTGGGTGGATCAACCCAGAGATGCGACACACTGTATTAGTAATGGACAGACCAGATCAAGTCATCATTCTACGTCACAGAACAGGACACAGTCGACTTCGCAGCCACATGTACACACGATTTATAATTTGGCCATGTGTACATGTAGATTCGCACCTAAGACAGCAGATCACGTCCTCCAAGACTGTCCCTAATACAACTCAACTAGGCGAAACTTGTGGCCAAGAGAAACACCAGTGCAAGCCAAACTTTAAGAATCACTGATTGCAATACAACAGACAGTGAAGTTCATACTAGAGACAACACTGCAGATGTGGACAATCTAGTTCAAGCAAAAAAAAAGAAGAAAATGTTTTGGTCAACTAGTTGCCTAATTGTCCCTCTTAAATTCCTTTAGTTTGTAGGTGGCACTGTCTGTAAAACTAATTCAACAGCAATATGTATGTCACACAGGACACCGAAATAGCACGGAATCGAACCCAAACCCTTGCATGTCTGCTGGGCTGTCGAGCTCGCGACATGGCCGAGACGATCGACTATCTCAGGACAGTCAGTGCACAACTCATCACTGAGAGACAGTTTAACTTCACCAAGTTCTACTTCGACACGCCGTTCGCCCCAGTCGTGGATGGCCACTTCCTGCCCAAACATCCTACTGACCTGATGGCTGAAGGCAAGGTTGGTGTCTACATCTTCCTCATTGAAATCTTCCACGCAATTCATCCTCATTATCAACATCACTAAACTCACTATTTTCTTGTCTACATATTCAGATTTTCAGCTGCAACTATTAGCTCTTGTACTAACACCCGTGTGTGCCATAGCAAAGGTCATGTACTAACACCCGTGTGTGCCATGACAAAGGTCATGTACTAACACCCGTGTGTGCCATGACAAAGGTCTTGTACTAACACCCGTGTGTGCCATAGCAAAGGTCATGTACTAACACCCGTGTGTGCCATGACAAAGGTCATGTACTAACACCCGTGTGTGCCATAGCAAAGGTCATGTACTAACACTCGTGTGTGCCTTAGCAAAGGTCATGTACTAACACCCGTGTGTGCCATGACAAAGGTCTTGTACTAACACCCATGTGTGTGCCATAGCAAAGGTCGTGTACTAACACCCGTGTGTGCCATGACAAAGGTCTTGTACTAACACCTGTGTGTGCCATAGCAAAGGTCGTGTACTAACACCGGTGTGTGCCATAGCAAAGGTCGTGTACTAACACCCGTGTGTGCCTTGACAAAGGTCGTGTACTAACACCCGTGTGTGCCATGATAAAGGTCTTGTACTAACACCCGTGTGTGCCATAGCAAAGGTCGTGTACTAACACCCGTGTGTGCCATAGCAAAGGTCATGTACTAACACCCGTGTGTGCCATGACAAAGGTCATGTACGAACACTCGTGTGTGCCATAGCAAAGGTCATGTACTAACACCCGTGTGTGCCATAGCAAAGGTCATGTACTAACACCCGTGTGTGCCATGACAAAGGTCGTGTACTAACACCCGTGTGTGCCATGACAAAGGTCATGTACTAACACTCGTGTGTGCCATGACAAAGGTCGTGTACTAACACCCGTGTGTGCCATGACAAAGGTCTTGTACTAACACCCGTGTGTGCCATGGTCGGGTCATGTACTAACACCTGTGTGTGCCATGGTCGGGTCATGTACTAACACCCGTGTGTGCCATGGTGGGGTCATGTACTAACACCCGTGTGTGCCATGGTGGGGTCATGTACTAACACCCGTGTGTGCCATGGTCGGGTCATGTACTAACACCCGTGTGTGCCACGGTCGGGTCATGTACTAACACCCGTGTGTGCCACAGGCAGGTCACGTATTAAAACCCATGTGTGCCACGGGCGGGTCATGTACTAACACCCGTGTGTGCCATGGTGGGGTCATGTACTAACACCCGTGTGTGCCATGACAAAGGTCATATACTAACACCGTGTGTGCCATGACAAAGGTCATGTACTAACACCCGTGTGTGCCATGACAAAGTTCATGTACTAACACCCGTGTGTGCCATGACAAAGTACATGTACTAACACCCGTGTGTGCCATGACAAAGGGCATGTACTAACACCCGTGTGTGCCATGACAAAGGTCATGTACTAACACCCGTATGTGCTCAGTAGATGCTGGTATGTTAATGTCAACGTTTGTTGGAACTTGTAACGCAATGTTGGAACTTGTAACGCAATGTTGGAACTTGTAACGCAATGTTGGAACTTGTAACGCAATGTTGGAACTTGTAACGCAATGTTGGAACTTGTAACGCAATGTTGGGATTTGTAACGCAATGTTGGAACTTGTAACGCAATGTTGGAACTTGTAACGCAATGTTGGAACTTGTAACGCAATGTTGGAACTTGTAACGCAATGTTGGAACTTGTAACGCAATGTTGGAACTTGTAACGCAATGTTGGAACTTGTAACGCAATGTTGGAACTTGTAACGCAATGTTGGAACTTGTAACGCAATGTTGGAACTTGTAACGCAATGTTGGGATTTGTAACGCAATGTTGGAACTTGTAACGCAATGTTGGAACTTGTAACGCAATGTTGGAACTTGTAACGCAATGTTGGAACTTGTAACGCAATGTTGGAACTTGTAACGCAATGTTGGAACTTGTAACGCAATGTTGGAACTTGTAACGCAATGTTGGAACTTGTAACGCAATGTTGGAACTTGTAACGCAATGTTGGAACTTGTAACGCAATGTTGGAACTTGTAACGCAATGTTGGAACTTGTAACGCAATGTTGGTACTCAAAAAATTGAATAGTTTTCTTTTATTTTTGATTGTTACCTGTTTGTTCTGCTTTATCACATCTGACTTCTATTTGTTTCAATTGGATGATATTATGCTGCCTAGATACTTAAAGTTTGTTGCTTGCTTGAGTTGGTGGCTGTTTACGTTCCACTGGCCACTTGTTCATGATTGCCTTTTTGTAATGTACACAAAAATGTTGACTATCTTTTTTCTAATCTTTGTGGAAATATATCTTGACGTATTAACCACTTCAAAACATCAAGATTACTCACCTGCATTCTTCGGTTGGAAGGCTCAGCATTGGGTAACACAGTCCCCGCGGACTTATTTCCTTGACAGAGAGGAAGAAATGTCGTTACAATCTCTCTCAATGACACGCTGGCATCTGTCGCGGCTCCGACCAAACGAAGAACTATTTTGGCCGACTTGATGATGTCAGCGTCAAACATGGACCCCATCCTAAAACAAACTGGCGCAAAATCATGAGAGATGGGATTTCTTAGAATAGCTGCAGGAGCAACCAGAAAGACAGTCGAAAATGAGGTTCGAGGTTTCAACAACAGATCGACATCATGGCACACAGGTAGTAACCCATAAGTGCTCCGTTCTTCTTCTAATTCAAGTTTGAGTACGAAGAAGCTCAGCACAGTGCACAGGTTCTGTAGCACCGGCGAGAATTCAGAAAAACTTTGGGTAGATTTTTGACTCCAAATTTTGCCCGGGCAGCGCCATAAGGCTACTCTTTTAAAATTCCAACTGCTAAGGGATTTTTTACGTGCGCAACAATACACACGGGCGTCGGATCTCACTACCCAGAGACCAGAGTGAATTACTAGAAGTCTAAGTCCAAGTGAAAAAATCCCAGTCTTTGCCGGGGATTAAACCAGGAACCTCTAGCACTCAGGGCGGACACCACGCCTCGAGACCATGCCGCCCCTAATTTTAAAATGAAGAAATGAGAAGAAGACAGGCTGGAGGCAGTTATACAATCCAGTAAACATCCATAAATGACATGCCCGTGTAACCAGAAGGTCAGTGTATCAACTGCCCCAGGGAGCCGTGCCGTAGTCACATAGTGAACACTGGGAAAGGAAACGGTGCCACTATAGACATCCTTACAGAAATATAGATCAATTTATTCAACGAAAGAGCACACAGAGGATTTTTGCAACTTCCCCCCCCCCCCTTTTTTTTTTTTTACACACATAAATACACAGACACAAACACACAACGCGCCCACGCGCGCACGCGCTTCGGTGAGTTTAACCGTGTAAATAGAACAAGAAAATGAATTGGAAGACAATGCCTGCGGCTATTATCTCTAGAGGCTAGTACCTTTGCCTTTCTGACACAAAGACCCCCCTGCCTACACCGCAAAAGGTCTTGAAAACCCCGTTCAACCCTTAGGTTTTATTCGGGTCCCCGAAAAATTGCGTCCCGTACGCGATGACGGGTAATGCGCACAGCTGGTCTCAAATGCGAAGCTAGCACTATATGTTTGATACGCTACTTGGCGTGATGTGGTGTCTTTTACTTCCCTTACCGGTCCTAGACATTGGGGTCCGATGTGTAACTGCTCTACCAGCGCCGTTCTTCTAGCATCTTGTTTAACTCCAACTATTTATGGCTAGGTCGCCAAGGTTACAGGGTAGATAACGCAGTTTAACTTTAAACATCATTGTCTGGGCACAAGTTAGATAGTTGTCTCCCCTGTGCAAAGTATTTCCCACAATTCATCAGCAACTTTGGCTTATTTTGTCGTTAAGGATAATGATGTTCATTCACAAACGGAGAAAACGAGGATAGAAAGGGATAACGGTAGCAGAGTAGAAACATCAAATGAGATAAACCAGCTTAAAGAAGGAACAAACGAACTTTGCTTTAAAATGGTCTCACATAGGGCACACAGGCCGCCTTACATCCAGTCCTTCCGAACACTCATCTGTTACACTGCAATGGAATGTTTTCTGTCAGTTATCTCATGTTCATACAATATAATAATACCAATATTAGGTCGTTGTTGTTGTTGTTGTTTTTTTTTTTTTTTTTAAGCTTAAAGAAAAGTAAAGTTTAGTGCTTTTAGCATGAACACGAAACACCACAACGTGTGCAGTGCAAATAGTTGAGTGCATCTTTAAGTTTAAGCATACCATTCTATATCTATAAAGTCAAATTTTACCCACGTCACCACAAGATACTTTCGCTGTATAAAGAATCATAGATATAGTACATCATATGTTAATACATATCTCTGTCATGTCAAAATTTGTAAATTTGTTTGCTTTTTCAAGGGAAACAAATGCTTCTATGACATAAAGAATGGTAAAATTTAGTATTTTCACAGAAAAATAAATACCTTCACAAAATCAAGAATAGTAAAGTTGTGTGCTTTCTCAGACAAAAAGATATCTATGTTGTATAAAGAATGGTAAAGTTGAATAGTGTCTCAGATAAAACAAACACCTCTGTTATATGAAGAATGGTAAAGTTGTGTGATGTCTCAGATAAAACAAACACCTGTGTTATATGAAGAATGGTAAAGCTGAATAGTGTCTCAGATAAAACAAATACCTCTGTTATATGATGAATGATAAAGTTGAGTGATGTCTCAGATAAAACAAACACCTCTGTTATATGAAGAATGGTAAAGTTGAGTGATGTCTCAGATAAAACAAACACCTCTGTTATATGATGAATGGTAAAGTTGAGTGATGTCTCAGATAAAACAAACACCTCTGTTATATGAAGAATGGTGAAGTTGAGTAGTGTCTCAAATAAAACAAATACCTCTGTTATATGAAGAATGGTGAAGTTGAGTAGTGTCTCAGAGAAAACAAATACCTCTGTTATATGAATAATGGTGAACTTGTGTGCCTTCGCAGGTAAAAAACACCTCCATTATATCAGGAGTGGTCAAGGATGAGGGAACATACTGGCTGCTGTATGGATTTTCAAACATCTACGACAAGCTGGACACCTCGCCCATGTCCTACAGCCAGTTCGCCAAAGTGGTCAGCGACATACTCAGGCCATTGGGCCCCCGATTCGGGACCGACCTTATCCAAGAACTGACCATCAAAGAATACTACGACTCTGTCCCTCCCTGGAGCAGGAGCTATCTCGATGCTACCGATGACATCAGGCATGTGGTCTGTAGTGTGTACAGTCCAACGTTGTTGTTGTTGTTGCTGCTTTATTTATGGCATCAGGCATGTGGTCTGTAGTGTGTACAATACATCGTTTTTGTTGTTGCTGTTGTTGTTGCTTTATTCATGGCATCAGGCATGTGGTCTGTAGTGTTTACAGTCCAACGTTGTTGTTGCTGTTGTGTTGTTGTTGTTGTTGTTGTTGTTGTTGTTGTTGTTGCTTTATTCATGACATCAGACATGAGATCTGTAGTGTGTACAATACATCGTTGCTGTTGTTATTTTTTCGTGACATCAGGCATGAGGTCTGTAGTGTGTACAATCCATCGTTGCTTATGTTGTTGTTGTTGTTGTTGTGTTATTCGTGACATTTTATCACCATGATTGGGTGCCATGTTCTGCTCACCATATCTGTCTACAAAGGTCTGTGTCTGATTACAAGAAAGTAACAATTACTTGTACTATTTCCTGTAACTACTCACAGGCACGCATGTTTTGTTTTGTCGATCTCTGCCTCTAATACCATCACAGTTTTTTTTTATTCCGTTATCTCCAAGAGAGCTCTCGACATTAGCTGCTGAAGATTGGATCGAAGCGCTATGAGAGTGTTCCGAGTGCTGTGTTGTCGGTTTTTAACTTAAATCGGTTTAACTCAGTTAAATTCTCTCTCTCAATACACACACACACACACACACACACATATATATATATATATATATATATATATATATATATATATATATATATATATATATATATATATATATAAAACAATCAGTCAATGTTGGCTGTAACAAATATCAAACGTTCTAATATCGCTGAAATTTAATTCTCAAATGTTAGTAACATCAACGTACTACTCTTTGCTGACGACCAGAACTGAATAGCGGATTCAGCTCGGAATGTTAACAAACTGTAACGAGTTATAAGAATATAAAACAAATAATATGAGAATCAACATTGAAAATACAGAAATAATGTGAAAAGGAAGAAAAAAGAAGAACCTAACATATAGTAGTAGAGTGCAAGGGCACGCACAAGCACCTGTGTTTAAATATCTGGAAACAACATTCACCGAAGATGGTAAATTGGATGAAACACAAAGAAGCGTCTCATACAATACATTTTCATTGTCATTCAATGCTGTCAGTGCCAGACATATTGTCACCCACAGTAAACATATAACAGTGGAAATCAGATGACCAGAAGAGATCAAATCAGAAACGAGGTCAAAGGAGAAAAAAATCTGCACAGAACAAATTTTAAGTTGCATAGGAAGACTGCAAATCAAATGGTTTGCCCACTCAGAGAGAGTGAGTGCCTGATCGTGATTTATCATACAAAAGATTCACTAAAGGAGGAGAAGGTCAAAGAGCCCAAGGTAGAACAAGAGCAAGTCGGAAAGATAACATCAGGACAACTCTACAACATCATGAGGTGTCTAGGCGGGCAGAAGAGCCTTCCACACCCGAAGCTGTACAAAAAGAAGAGATGAAGAAGGAAAAAAACAAAAAGAAATATATAGAAACCTGCGTGTCCTGTACCGTGTTCACTGGGTAGTTAACGACTGAATTGGTAGTGATTACTGTCCCTTGTGAGTGTTTGGGACTCAAGATGGCGCACGCGAGCACAGACCAACCCTGACTTAACTAGGCACGAAGAATTGTTCTTGCAGTTAGAAGTAATGACGGCTTTTTCTCTGCCTTCACCGGTGGTATACTTCCGGTAGTTCTGGTTATTCGTCCAGCTCCGGACTGTAGTCTTGTAGAACTTCAGCTGTACGTACTCATCAGCACTATGGATGTGGCCTATTGGTATGCAGACTGTTGGTTTCTTGCAGCTCAGGCAGATGCACTCCGAATTCCAAGGAAACCCTGAATTATTCGACTCCTACCACATGCTAGGTAAGGTGGCAGTGGTTCTACAACCCCCCCCCCCCTACCCCCACCCCCACAATGGGGCTCCAAAACCCACACAGGGAAAAATGATGACAGATCCTTGCAAATGTCGTGTCAGCCCCATCTACCAAATACACGCACAGGAACACTCACATGTCCCTAATGTATCGAGATGATGGGTTCCTTGTTGCCACTGACATGCGCCTATCTGTTTCTGTTTGCCGCTGTTTCATCACCATCATCATCTGGTCTACATCCACACAGCGGAGACACGCTGTTCAAGTGCCCGGTAGTCAACTTTTCCGAGCTCTACAGTAACAAGGTCAAAGGTCATGTGTACATGTATTCGTTCGAACACCGGGTCAGCACCAACAGCTGGCCCCAGTGGCTGGGCGTTGCCCATGGTTACGAGATCGAGATGTTCTTCGGGCTGCCTCTCGGGGAGAACAACTACACGCGCCAGGAGCGGGCCCTCAGTGATGACGTCATGGCCAGGATCGCCAACTTCGCATATACTGGGTAAGTAGGAGGTATGGGGGGCGGGGGGGGGGCATCAGAACTTACGTGTCTGTACCCGCGTGTGTGTTTGCGAGTTTTTTTTTTTTTTTTTTTTTGTTCTTTAGAAAATGTTTCTAACAATACATACTGCTATTGTAACTGCTGCACGGGCACACTCAGCACAAAGGATGAGGACAGAAATTTAAAAAATAAAACTCGCTTACTAAGTAATTATGTCAAGCATGACCACGAAGATCACTGCTGCTTTCAGGGTCATCTCACGAGCAGTTTGACAAGTAGCTTTCCTATCTGACTAAATGAACATGCTTCACAATATCGCAACAGACAGTCGGCGTTCTGAGTGAGCAGACAACATTAGAAAGTCACACTTAACCTTCGTCCACCTGGGTCTATCTACCTGGAAATGCTGGAGTAAAAGGTAACGACTGAGCGGACCAGCTGGCAAGTAGTGCACCACTGCATGCCGGGAGATGTGTGAACAGATATTGTCAACGCCATACGGACGAGGCTGGTAGATTGTTCATGAATCCTCTGACAGGGCAAGGCTTGGTAAAGCATTATAACAAACGTTCCTGGGTACAGTCAGTATATGTACCCTGGGTACAATCAGTATATGTACCCTGGGTACAGTCAATATATGTACCATGGGTACAGTCAGTAAATTTACCCTGGGTGGCTGCTGGATTTAAGACTGAGCACAGTGACATCGATTGCGATCATTTATGATAATATTACAGTAACAGTAGTTACTAGTACTACTAATCACTGCTGCGTATTGCTGGATACCACTTGAAACTGATTGCCTCACTATTGTCCAGAAACCCAAACCACGGCA